TTATATAGGGGAGAATAATAGGGGTCACTAAGGGGGATACAAGGAGTTTAGATTATAGCTCATATTGTAGTTTCTACTTTCTTTTCATTCCCTCAAGCTTAAGCCATGGGGGTTTCCCAAAATTAGGGGTACCTGCTTGGGTGGTCCCAATTATCAGGACTATAGTATTATTTTTTTCTGTTATTGGGGTCCCCCATTCCCAAGGGTAAGGGGATAAATGGTGTTTTTTTTGTTTTGCCCGGCTAAGACTTCGCATCATTCCGCATGATCTTGATCAAAAGAGGATTCTGGTAACCCCCCAACCTCCCACTGATGGAGAAGTAGATGGAAAAGGACTGGTAAAGAACATGGAAACTGGGGTGATAGAGGGTTTACATTAGGTAATAAGTGGCCAAACACCCAAATGGTAGGGTCCTGTTGTAATGGGGTCCTAATTTTGGGGATTGGTGCTCCGGCTTTACTGAAAATCACTGTTGATTGAACGCAGTTTTTTGGTTTCCATTCACCCACCATGCTGAAGTACTTGGCCCTATGGCGTTTCTGTTGTTTTTTTGCTCTTTGAAGATTCTACGTGTAGATTTCACGGTTCATTCTTGTATTTGTCCTGTGGTTATCCGGGTTGGGGATACCAGGAGTTCAGACTAGAGCTCATATGGTACTTCTTCGGACTTCAGTTGCGCAACATTTCCTCCATCAACAGTATGCTGGGACTTTCTCTTTTGGATCCCCCTGGGGTTCTGGTGGCGAGAGGCTTCCTTCTCTCTACTTATTGCAGATTATCCCTCAAATTCAGGTCTTAGAACCATACCCAGACACCAGGTTAGGGGTACAGGGTTTTTGGGGGTTTTGGGCTTAGGGTTTCGTCCAAAACCTGAGTTCCAATTTGCTCTGAGACTTGAAAGAGCTTGCCCAAACCACACAACGCGCAACCTCTGGACCTCAACCCTTCCCAAATTCATTCTTGGTTAGTTTAGGGTTTGGGTTTCGGGTTTAGGGTTTAGGGTTTTGGGCTTGGGTTTAGTGAGGAGTGAATGAATGGGTCCATCAACTAGTCCCTTTCTCATGTCTTCTAGAAGTCCATATGGGGGTTCCCAAAATTAGGGCTACCTTTTGGGTGTCCCCAGAATAAGGATTATACTATTTCGGGTATAGATTGGGGTCCCCCTATTTGAGGAGATACCATGTAGTACATCCCATACTTTAGAAGACCCCCCACCCATAGTAGGAATATGATAGGACCCTACTATAACCCTTCTTATCCCTCATCGTCACTATAAAGGGGGGGTCCTCCTAACCCACATAACCCTAAACCCTAAATAGTAGTTTCCATTTTCTTTTCCATTATCCCAATACATCCCCTATATAACCCCTATATCTACATAATGGGGACTATAATCCCTAAACCCTACACCCTAAACCCTAATCCCTAACCCACAATCTTTCCTTCTGGAATAGGAGGAGCAAATGAAACCCTTTCAGGACACTGATCCACGAATTGCTGAGCGCTTCGGGTTTAGGGTTTTAGGGTTTAGGGCTTTTAGGGCTTTTAGGGTTTAGGGTTTTAGGGTTTACGGTTTAGGGTTTTTAGGGTGCGCATGGGTCTTTATCGTGTTTGGAGTCCTGCGACCCCTTTGAGGCACCCTAAACCTTAGGTCAATCCCC